TGCCTTGTAAAACTAGAAACACACCAGCAGTCACACAGCCTAAAGAACTGGGAAAGTTAGGGGAGCAAATAGACCGAGAATTTAAATGCACTGGCGTCTTACTCTTATCACGCGGTCTCGATACACCGGCAATGGATACCAAACACTTTTGCTATTGTGCCAGCCGAATAAACCGACGGCAAAGTGCCTCGCGCTCTCTTCCGTACGTTGTGTGGCAGTGAATCTAAACTGAAATTTAGCTGGTGATTGGAGGAGCGTAAAGGCGCGTAATCGATACATTCGGATACTTGGTCGTGCGTACTTTGTACGTCCGATTGTCGAAAGCCTCCGGCATCAGAGACGGAAACCTCGCCTGATACCGCTCTCCGAGATCGATCATCTCGTTCTCCCCCTCCAGAGCCAGTTTCATCATGTGCCCTCGACCAAACGGCAACTTCCACCCCCTGAACAGAGCCACGTCGTCGGCGGACAGATTCGTCGCTCCGTTCGCATGATTTTTCAATATCACGTGCTGCAGCTCCGGCAAGTCGTCTATCATCCGAGGTATGTACTTCTTGCCTGGATACAGAGTCCCGTGGCGCAGAATTAGCCAAATCTTCTTCTCCACGCAGTCTGCAAGTTAAACAGCGATAAATACGCGCCGTTGGAAGCCCCGTGCGTTAACGCGTTACCCTATGCCAACGGCGACTCGTCGTGATTAGCCACGCATCTGTAAGGAGTCTTCGATCCCAATCTACACTCGTGGCTGCCTTTGTTTGCTAGTTATGTCGATTATTAATTTCCTACATTGGTTAATTATTTACTGGCGACAAAAAGTTTTTATTCTTGTTCCTTTCTTACTTGTGACCTCCCATTAACACGACGATATTCCATCTTTATCACACAACTTCATAATACTATTAATTGTATATTTGAATTATACATATGTGTAACTGCAAAAGAATAAAAATGCATGCAGAAAAAATTATTATACATAGACTTTATTTCATACGCTGTAACTTCAGTTGCAGATCAATAGAAAAATAATAACAAAAACGTAATTGATAATAACGATCAGCATCAAAGACTATCGGAATACATGCGTGTAATCGCAGACACGCCTTTATACGGAAAACTAGTAAGAACAGGAGCTTCTTCAAGTCTCGCTATGTGCGTATAAGTCCCAGTCTACAATAGATGATTTAAGCCCTAAGCTTTAAGAAATTGGCCAATCACGGTCAAGTATGAGAAGAATGCGCGACTGTGATTAGTCAATTTCTT